CAAGGATGGTCTCGCTTCCCCATTACCCACCGCGCCTCTCAGAGCAGGGTATCGCCACGCTCTCTCTCCATTCTCAAGATTATGCCTTTTCTCACAATTTGCAATACCGACCCGTCTCATCGGTCTCAAGTCGAAGTTCAACTTCCATTCCGAGCACAACGTCCACCATCCACGCTCCGCACTCCCTCTTGCCCGTTCTTTTCCCTCGACATTTGTTCGACAAAGCTCAGAGGTTGATGAAGGATTATTCGACGCTTTATGCACGGGTTGCGAGTGATCAGGAATGGCTCAAAAGCGTATTGTACAAGAGCAAGCAGTTTGATACCTTTGCAAAGAGACTTTGGAGTGTGTGGGATGAGAGCGAAGAGCGGGACCAGGTACGTCGCTTCTGCAGCTGTCCAGGCTTCTTGCGCTGTGCTGATCGTAGCCGCGTCCGCTATCCGCGTCCTCTTGCCCACTCGCCCTTGTTCGACCCGTGTATGCATACACTCGGCAGCTTCATCTCGGCTTGTTTCGATCAGACTATCTTCTGCATGATCCCGCAGCTACGTCGGCGCAGGACCAGGTGGACGTGTCAAAGTTGGAACTGAAGCAGGTCGAGTTCAACACGATAAGCGCTAGCTTTGGACCTTTGGCGGGCGTCGTCAGCAGATTGCATGCGTGAGTGACGATGCCTTCTGATTACAGTTGCGATTGACGAGATGTACGAGTGTATTCGGGGCAGTGATGACAGGCAGAGCTGCTTGCGAGATCACTCTTGGCTAAATGAAAGTTCGCTTGGTGGCCTGAAACCGCAATACAGACACGCGCAATGGCAGCATCCCGATCTCTTTCCCGCAAGCGCCACCATACCACCCAACGAAGCACTCTCCACTCTGGCAGACGGCCTAGCGGAAGCGCACCGTCTCTATCTGTCGCAGTCTCCACTATCAAGCTCAGTCTCCTCCACCTCCTCATCGCAGCGCGCTCAGACAAGCATCCTGTTCGTGGTGCAAGAAGGCGAAAGAAATGTGTTCGATCAACGTTTTATCGAGTGGGAACTAGCTCGAACTCACGGCATCAGGGTTGTGCGTCGGACGTTTGAAGAACTGTCGAC